CACTCACACTCTCGCACACTCACACACTCTCACACACTCTCACACTCACACTCTCACACACTCACACTCTCACACACTCACACACACTCACACACTCACACTCTCACACACTCACACTCTCACACTCTCACACACTCACACTCTCACACACTCACACTCTCACACACTCACACACTCACAGTCACACACTCACAGTCACACACACTCACACACTCACACATACTCACTCACTCACACACTCACACACTCACACACTCACTCTCTCACACTCTCAGTCTCACACTCACACACTCATACTCTCACACACTCACACTCTCACACTCACACACTCACACTCACGCACTCATACACTGTCCTCTTTCTGTGGAAGAAGTGGGGTATTATAAAGCACCAGGCAATTTGTTTTTAGACAGTGCTCCATTGCACACCTCTCCGGGCCAACACATGCAGACCTACTGTGAACATTGCATGTAACAAGATAAATAAAAGACCCAGAGACTGATATTGGGGTTCAAGCTACAAGCTGAAGATCAGAAAAGCAAAGCAGCTGGCCACTAGCTCTTACTCTACCTCAGACTGAAAGGGGATCCTGGCTCCACCAAACCTCAACTGCTGCCTCTAGAATCATGAGACTTCAATGTCTTCCTGTCCTCAATGTGGCTGGAGAATAAATGCCTGATACTGACTGCTGAGGACCCTGCTCCTGTCTTATACCCCTCTAGTGCTGGGATTAAAGGTGTGATCCCAGGGCCTGAGATCATCTTTGTGTGAGCTGTTTCTCTTTAGGACTGGATCAGTCTTGTGTAGATCTGGGTGCCCATTAATCCTGCCTCTTAATCCTGAGTCCTGGGATTAAAGGTGTGTGCTGCTACTGCCTGACCTCTACAGCTTGTGGCTGACTTTGCTTCTGAATCCTCAGGCAAGCTTTAATAAATCATAAATAATATATCACCACAGTTGCACAACGGGGCAACTCAAGTGTTTCATACTGATGGATATTTAGGCTGGTTTCATTGCGTGTTCCGTTTTTGTTGTTGGTGTTGTTGTTTGCTTTTTGCACAAGCTATATATTTTGTGTACATGTATATATAAAATTATACATATAAAGATTATATATACACGGACACATATACAGTTTGGGTTCTCTTAATACCTGGCCTGTCTTTTGGCATAAGATTTCAGCGAGTTGTAAGGGAAGTGGCAGGAACCCGTATGATCTGACCTGGTTCTGCTGGTCCCCCAACCACACTCCTGTTCTTACACCACTTCTTTTGTTGTTGTTGTTGTTTTTCGAGGCAAGGTTTCTCTGTAAACAGTCCTGACTGTCCTGGAATTCACACTATAGACCAGGTTGGCCTCAAACCCATAGATATCTGCATGCCTCTGCCACCCAAATGCTGAGATTAAAGGAGTGTGCTACCATGCCCCAGCTGGACCAGTCACTTCTAAAGAGGAGCAAATTAACCCGAAGAGTGAAGGATACAAGTTTAATTTGAGAATATGAAACTCCTTGAAACCAGTCTTTCACTTTTAAAAGAAGACCGTTGGCCAGGCATTGGGGGTGCACGCCTTTAATCCCTGCACTTGGGAGGTGGAGGCAGGCAGATCTCTGTGAGTTGGAGGCCAGCCTGGTCTACAGAGTGAGTTCCAGGACAGCCTCCAAAGCTACAGAGAAGCTCTGTCTTGAAAATCCCCCGCCCCCCTCAAAAGAGACTGTTTTCGTCCTACATGCCAATAAACTCAGCCAGATTCTTCTTGAAAAGTTTTCCCTCTCGGTGTCTTTATAGCCGGATGCTTTTTAAATAAGAGAGGCTTTAATTATTCGGGGTGCTTTATTTTGGGCAGGCTAAGCGGCAAGCCCCCCAGCCTTAGCCTTGTCTAGATCACCTTCAGAAAGCCACGAAACCAAGACCTAGCAGCCTGTGAGCCAGGTAGGAGTCTTGTTCTGGCCTCTGGCGCCCTCTGACGTCCTTTAAAGGGAACAACCGGCATCGGAGAGCTTTGGAACCTAAATCATTCCCTTCAACCCTCTATTGCCTCTCCCCCAGTAAATATGCAGATAACATCTTCATACTGCTTGGAAAACAGGCCATCTGAGAACAAGACCCCCTCGCGCACCAGTACTCTTAGCCCCTGCACGTGGGGGATCGTTAAACTAGATATGATGCGAGGTCCCAGCTGTTTGTGATCGGAGCGCTGGCGATCTGGAGAGGGAGGACAGGGGTGTGCCTGGGGTGGGGTCAGGTAAGAAGTTTAGGGCCTGTGGTCAAAGGCCTGTAGCAAAAGATCTCAACACAGTCCCCGTGCAAAAGCAGATCTGCCTTGCTGGCCATCACCTCCCTCTCCCCCACCTCCTCCTGCGGGCAGTTTCTGGAGTTCCTCCTCTTCGCCTCTTTGCCAAGAAGTCTAGTCTTTGACCATGTCCATTTGCTTTTTATGCTTCAGCAGTTAGTCTCCAGAATTCTCCTTCCTGCTTCTGTCCTGTGTCAGCCCCCTGCAAAGAAAACCTGCCACTCCACTCCACCACTTAATCTCTTGGGATGTGTGGGAGTTTGCCGCTGAGCCTCCTGCTAAAAGCTCGCTGCCGGAGGGTGAGGCTAGCTAGGTAAGAGCACAGAGGGAACCACTGTGGGGCCCAGGAGAGCAAGTGAAGCCCAGCGAGAGTACACAGAGGGTTAGTTCGTCCACCCTGCACCCCTGGGGCTGCTTGCTGGGCCAGCAGGATGGGCAGGAGGCTGACAGTTAGCAGCTGCTGGCAGGCCTCCTGCCCACCTGCTCCTGCAGGCTTGCCTTTGATCCTCAGATGCCTGGGTTTTGTTTGGCAATAAGGGAGTGCCTTTAATGTGCCTGCTGGTTCTGTACCTGGCTGGCCCAGCTGTGTTAGCAGATGCCAGACACTCCTAATAACAGCCTGCCTGTTGCCAAGAAGAAACCCTGCAGCTGCTGGGCTGGAAGAGAAAGGAGAGTCAGGGACCGTAACTTCCAGGTGGGCTGAGGCTGGCACTAACCCCCAGGATGGGTGGCCGAAGCGAGTCATCCAAGAGGGCATGCAATAAAAGTAGAGGGGGTAGGCCCACTACCCAAGGACATCAGTGACAACTTTCCACTGTATGTTCTCCATCTCTTACCCCTAAAAATGCTTCCTGAGGTCTCAGATACTTCCTGCTTCCCCCTCTACCTTACTCATCTCTGCTCTAATCTTGCCACCACCTTCACCACGGTGACCTTTAGGGTCATTATTCTCTGCAGCAGTCGCGTCCCCTGATCTGTTGTTGCTTGTCTGTTGTCCCCCATTGGATTCCTTGGCTCACTCTCAGTGTCACCCCAGTGCCCCGCATTGTTAGTCAGAACCCAGCTACCTAATAAGAGTCACAGAACCACCACTCCGCTCAGTGTGACAGAATCAGAACCCGGCTACCTAACAACAGTCACAGAACCACCACTCCGCCCAGTGTGACAGAATCAGAACCCGGCTACCTAATAAGAGTCACAGAACCACCACTCTGCCCAGTGTGACAGAATCAGAACCCAGCTACCTAATAACAGTTACAGAACCACCACTCCGCCCAGTGTGACAGTATCAAGGCTCAGGGAAAGCACAGGTTTAGAACCTCAAGAAGCCGGGGGCATCAAGGCCAGACTGTTGGCTCTCATTGCTGGGTTTATAAACAACTTCTGTGGCGTTCCTTTGGTTGCTCCTGCTCGTGTCTTCAGTCACATTTGACACCCAGCAGGAAGGCCTGCACCCCTGTCTAGCCACTTGTGTTGCTTCCATTTTATTGGCAAGGCAGGTGGAGAGGGCAGGCCCACAGAGAATGTTCTGAAGGAAGGCTGTAAAGATCATCTAACTAGTGTGAGGAAACCCTGGCCTTCTCCAGCCCCAGCCGGCTCTGCCCTTATGGTTCTGAAGCGTTATTAAAAGCAGAAACTGCAAGGGGGAGGGAGAAGGCTTCCAGAGGGAGGGCTGGGAGATAAACATGATCAAAATATATTGCATACATGTATGAAGCTTTCAAAGAATAAATAACATTATACACTTGCACCCCCCAAAAGCATCATTGGAGATAATATTGTAGACCACAGAACCTACAATTCCCATATGACCCTTTCCAGGACAGCCTTGGTGTCCCCTAACAATAGAGATAGGGAGCACTGTGATTCCTGCCGAGTCAGTACCAGAAGAGCTAGTGTGGATCAGTAGAGCAGTCGCTGGCTCTGGAGTCAGGAAACCTGGGTTCTAGTTCCACCCCAGCTAAGACCCAAGAACAAGTGTCGCTTCTGTGCTCCATGGCCCCCATTTGAATAATAGCTATGTCAGTCATGTTCAGACTCCCACAGTTCCAGAGAGCACAAGAAGCCACTACCAGCCAGCCTGTCGTGGGAACTGTTCCCCTGAGTAGTTTGTTTGTAAATAAACTTCACATGACACCAGTGAAAACCACCCTCTACGTTTCTACGGATGTTCAGCTTAGACAACTCATGATGCAAAGTGTGGGTGAATCCACAGTAGCCACAGCGCTGGAATCACACCTCCGCATGGACGACTTCTCCATGGCTGTGGAGATGGACAGTGCCCCCTTCAGTAAGCCTTCCACAGTCCATATACTCTAGCTCCTCCCGAAACAAGACCATGAGAATTACTTACAAAAGGCCGCTGGTGCTCCACAGAGTGGCTGGAAGCTCCAGTGAGAGTCCCACAGCCCTCCTGAGCCCCTATGAGGGCGTGTTAGCAGCCCACACGCCCGGCCTTGAGGGTCTCTGGTAAGCAGTCACAGCTTCTGTGATGAAGTTGACGCTGTTATGCTGGCAAGAGGGCAGGATGACAGTGGATATTTTGGGAGTGAGCTAACTTTATAATATCATACCTCACCACTAAGCTCTAAGTTTCTGCATACCTCTCTGTGTGTGCAATGGAAGAGACCGCTTGATGGATGGATATTGGGATGGGCAGTAGTTGTCCCCATACAATTCACGCCTCTCATTGTCTCTTTCCTCCACAGTGCCACCCTCCACGCCGGCCTGCGGCATCGAAGGGGAGACAGTGATTGGGAATGACATCAAGTTGACATGCCTGTCTGCAGAGGGCTCTCCGAGCCCGCAGTACAGCTGGAAGAGCTACAATGCACAGAACCAGCAGCGGCCGCTCACCCAACCAGGTGACAGGGCAGCAGGGAAGGCGGGTGTGCCCCACATCCGGGTGCACCTGACTGGCTAGGGCTGCCAGGGGAGACAGAGGCTGACCAAGCAATCGAAGACCCATTTCCCCAGTCCCGTCCTTGTGCTGTCTTGGACCATCCCTCAGAGCATTGGTTTCCCATAAGAACGCCTACCTCAGCTGCCAAGGACGGAAGTGGCTCCCGGAAGGCACATAGTTTCTGTGCCCCCCGCCCCCATTCTCTTGAGGATGTATGTCCGGCTGAGCATTCTTTGTATAAACACTGGGGCTTGTTCTTTAAAGCATCGTGGCCTAAAGTCCACCTTTGAGGTGGGGAATAACCCCTTTCCTATCCAGACCAGTCCATGTCAGACACCACCACAAACACGCCATGACTTAGAGCCCTCACTCTCAGAGCAGGTGATGGCAGAGTTAGCCATAGTTGCCCAGAGACCCATTTAACCCTGGGCAGCCAACATTTGACCTTTTAGTCAGGAAACAAACTAAGAGGAGGAAAAGGAAGAGGCATAGGGGCCGAGAGAGGAAGAAAAGGGAGGGAGAGGAGAGGCATGGAGCTCTGCTGCCATTATGTCCCCGGCGTGGAAAGCCCCTGGGCCCAGTGCCCACCAGCTGCCACGGCTGCACCAGCGGTCTGAGACAGGAACCAAGAGGCCCGAAAGATGCCCATAGGGTTTCGCCTTGGGGTCTTTCAGCCCTGTGTGTGTAGAAGTGGGGCAGAGAACAGAGCCTGTGGTGGACACTGTAGTCGGAGTCTTCTTTGGGCCTGCAGCTCAATAACAGACTATTAAAGTGTGAAAGCTCGGCCTTAGCTTAGGCTTCTTCTCAACTATTCCCCCCCCCCCCCTTTTAAATTTATATTAGGAATAAGTTTCTTTTACATGTCAATCCCAGTTCCCTCTCCCTCCCCTCCTCCCTGGCCCCCCACCAGCCCCCTCTCCCATTCCCTTTCTGCTTCCCAGGGAGGGTGAGGCCTTCCATGGGGGGATCTTCAAAGTCTGTCATATCATTTTCAACTAGTTCCTATAATTCAAATTAACTACGTTCTGCCACATGGCCTTTCCTTTCTTCTCAGTGTGGCACATTTGACTTGCTCCAAGTCTGCTGGTGAAATACATGTGTCTACATTCCTTCTTCTCGTCCTCTCTCTCCCCAGAAATCCCCCCCATCTCTCCTGCCTAGCTATTGGCCATTCATCCCTTTATTAAACCAATCAGAAGGTGCCTTAGGCAGAGCCCCGCCTTTACAGCGTACAGGAATACTTCACAACAGGACACACCTATTTTGAGACGCTGACCTGAGGGAGGGAAGAACATCCAGCCCCTTTAGGAAGCCAGATGGATGAACGTCCCACTCCTTAGGTTTCCATCGAACCAGAGTAGATTTTATCATGCTACCTATCACTCATTTGGAAGCCAAACAATAGCTTCTTAAAAGCAAAGTTAGCAACTGGCCAGGTGGTGGTGGTGAATGCCTTTAATCCCAGCACTTGGGAGGCAGTGCTGTGAGCTTGAGGCCAGCCTGGTCTACAGAGGGAGCACAAGCTCATCACAGTGAGAGGTCAGAGGGCAACCTGTGGGAGTCACTTCTCTCCCATTACATCAATTCCAAGGACTCAGGGTGTCCTAATTGGCAGTGGCCCCTGGATTGCCAGTTTCCAAATGTTGGGGATTTTTGTTGAAATCACCTGGTAGCTGGCCTCAAACTCTGTGGCCTCCTGTCTCTACCCCTCTTCTCCAATCATGGTCTGAGGACACAGTGATATGCGACTGTCCTCTATGGAAGTGCGCCCAGAGGGTCCAGGTCATGAGGTCGTGAGCCACAGTGGCTGAGATACAGTGGTGTGATGCAGAGAGTGTGTGAGGGACCCAGGAAGCTCTCTTCCAAAAGAGGATGCTTGAGTTGCCAGGTGACCTGGTGCTTAAGAGCAGCGGGGGGGGATGGTGGGGGTGGGGGTGGTGAGAGAGGGAGGGGCTTGGATCCATCCTGGCTGTGCTGCTTGTTACTTAGCCAGCTGTGCCTTTGTCTCTACATCTGTCAAATGGGCACAACACCAGTGTTCATCGCATGCTGCTACTGTGAATTGAGAACTAAAGTACATACAGCACCAAGATGGGTGCCGTGGGCAGCACAGGGCCAGTCAGCTCTAGGTATCCTTAGCCGTCTTCAGCAGGCCTGTCAGAGTGGAGAACAGCATGGGTCAGTGTGGCTGACGGGTAGGATGCCTGTCCATGCGGAAAGGATGGAAGAGGCTCTTGATGGGAAAGATAGGAGAGATGGAGAGGGGCCTGGGTGTCAGCCTAGGAGGTTGGACTTTCCCCTGTAAGCACAGGACTCCTCCTAGGAGCCTCACAGATGGCTTTCCAATCAGGGCTCCCCACTTCCATTACAAGAAGGTGTTAGGGGCCAAAACTTAGTTTCTTTGCTGACTAAAAGTGAGCGGATCCTGAGGGCACAGGAGGAGGTTAAAGCAAGATTTGCTTCTCTGTTTTATCTAGGCCTGAGTTCAGATTTCCTCAGCTGGAATTCAGACCTGGAGTGACGGCAAAGAACATGGCTGCTGTGGTGTGATGTCTCGATAAAGGGACCGGCCACATTCCATCTGTGGCCAGGCGGCAGGGGGCGGGGCACAGAGACAGTCACAGAGATGCACAGAGAGACAGAGAGAGGGGACTGCGGCTACTCTTTTTCTCTTTCTCCTTTTTATTCAGCCCAGGATTCCGGCCCAATGGCTGGTGTTGCCCACAGCTAAGGTGGGTCTTCCCACCGTAAATACCTTAATGTAGATGCCCCACACAACCATGCCCAAGGCCAGCTTGATCTGGAATTCCTCACAGGCATGCCCAGAAGCTTATCTGCTAGGTGATTTTGATTCAGATTCACCACGCAGCCTGGTGCAGATGGAGGCAGGGTGCTGCTCTCAAGGCCTCTTTTTCCTGGAGTGCCCTGCAAAGAGATCCCTAGATCCTGTTTAACTTTGTAGCTGCAAGTACGTAGCTTACAAGGTCATGGATCCTGAGAAACAGACTAAAACCACAAAACAACAACAGCAGCAACAAAAGGTAACAAGAGCTGAGATGCTGCTATTACCTTCCTTGAAGGAAGAGGCAGCCTCCTACAGGAGGGCTCTGGAAATGCTTTCAGAACTGTCCTCCAGCGAGTTGGTTTCAGGAGTGGAAGGTGCAAGGATTTGGATGTCAAGGAAGGAGACTGGAACACTTTAGGGGAGGAGGAAGTGAGAGAAGAGATGGGTTGACCCAAGAGCCCAGGATGAGAGGTGGCAGCCAGGGTTTACTGACCGGCCATGGTGGGAGGGGAGATCCTGTCAATCAGTGTCTTGGGGGTAGTCAGGGCTTCTTAGCATTTCAGCAGGGGTCAGATGACTGTCCTGTATCCCCAGTACTGACCACAAGATGTCGCCACAACAACGAGAAACTGGGTTTCAGAAACTAGAGGGCTCTTTCCAGAAGGGATGGGAGACTGGGGTCCCCAGTTCAATTAAAGCCAATTGGTGGCATGGGGTGTGTGCTATTTCATGCAGAGAAGTTTCTAGAACCTATTGTTTGCTTCGGAGACTAGGGGAAGGATGGTGCTGGCATCAGGAACCTCCCTGGCCCCACCCATAAGCAAGGCCTAGAGCTGCCCTGGGGTGCTGTGGACACCTGGCTGTCACTGAGCCACACACTTCCAAGGGAACTCTGATGCCAGCGCAAGGCCACCTAAGCATGCTGGGGGTCACAGAGCATTCTTCCTTTAAAAACCTCTTGAAAATAACCAAGTCCAGTGGGGTGGAAGAACAGAACGTTAATACTCTGAATCCCTTCCAGGAGTTCCCACTGCTCCACGGCACAGTAAAACACCCATAGGTCACCCCCAAAACTTCCCAGCCACACCGATTTCTGTGCTTGCTTTGCTTGAGGCCACTTCCCCAGCATCGTATGTAAATGTCACAGATAAACGGTATACCAGAAAAACTCAGGAGTGGGGTTCTAGAATCCAAGGCCGTCACATTTTACAGAAAACAGGGCTTTGAGTTTTAAGGGAAGAGTATAAAGAAGGAGCATATTTGTGACAAGAAGAGAAGAAAGCAAAATCAATGGACTGCGATTAAGGGTGATTTTATCTTATTCTCTCTCCTTTCAGAGGCTTCCTCTGACCCCCCAGACAACAGTGAACCCCTGCACCATGAGTTCAGCTTCACCTCTATTTTGAACTATAACTACTCATACAATCACACTTGTTTCATGTGTGCTTTCCTTTGTAGATTGGAAACGCCAAAAGGACAGGAGCTCCCTCATTTTGTTTGGAACCATGACTGGAATGTAGATGTTAGTTTGGAGTGAGTTAGTTGACATGATAGTTTTGTTTGTTTGTTTGCTTTTTGTTTTGTTTTTTTTTTTTGAGACAGGGTTTCTCCATGTAACAGCTTTAGCTGTCCTGGGACTTGCTCTGTAGACTAGGCTGGCCTTGAACTCACAGAGATCCACCTGCCTCTGCCTCCCAAGCAGTAGGATTAAAGCCGCCGCCACTGTCGCCGCCGCCACCACCACCACCACCACCACCTGGTAGCATGATAGTTTTCTGTCATACATAAATACTTATCATAGGCATACATTGTTTTTATGGTGCATAAGTATTTTTAGCATTTATTTACTTATTATTGGTATGCATGCATGTGTACATACGAGTGTGAAGGTCAGAGGACAGCTTGCAGAAGTCAGTTCTCTCTTATAAAATTGGAGTTGGGGTACTTGTGTGGCAATACTTCCATACAAGAATGCTGGTAGGATGAAACAATATGATATTGAGAGACCATGTGACATAGATATTCCAGAGCGTGGAGGTAGGACCTTGTCCTTGGCTTTGCACATGGGAAGCAGTAAGAGATAAAACTAGCAGGATTGTAGGACCAGATCTATAGTTTTGTCACCATATTAAAAGCTCAGAATGCAGGGCCTGGGGGAGGGTAGTGCAGTCAGTAAAATGGTTGCCATGAAAACATTGGTTTGATCCTCAGCAACCCACATGATAGCTGAGCATGGCAGGACCCACCTGTAATCCCAGCCCTGGGGAGGCAGAGACAGGATTCTTCAGGGCTCACTGAGCATTCATCGAGCAGCTAAATGGTTTTTCAAGAGACCTTATGTCAAAAAGTAAGATAGAAAAGAAATTGAAGACACCCAATGTTAACTTTCTGCATGCACCCATGCGTGTACACACACACACACACACACACACACACACACACACACACACACACACGTGAGCTGGTTACTGAAGACTAGAGACCACTTCTGAAATGTCTACAGAGCTGCGACAGGTCCCTTCTTGATGATTTAGAATGTCCCCTGGAGGTGGATTGCAACACCTGGTGGCAGCAAGGTCCTGATGAGGCTGCACTGCAGTCATGACAAATGTCTTTGAGAAGAGAACACACACACACAGGCTGTCTGGGTACAACCCACAGAATCATGAATTCTGGGAGAGATCTCTTTTGTTTGTTTTTTCAAGACAGGGTTTCTCTGTGGCTTTGGAGGCTGTCCTGGAACTAGCTCTTGTAGACCAGGCTGGTCTTGAACTCACAGAGATCCGCCTGCCTCTGCCTCCTTAGTGCTGGGACTACAGGCATGCACCACCACCGCCCAGCAAGAGGTCTCTTAAAAGGACATCTGTGCCATATCCATGGGCTCAACAATGGCTGTTTTCACCCTTGCTTCCCACATGAGGCAGGCAGCTGCGGCTGAAGAATTCGACAGCTAGAGTGACGATGGGTGAGGAGGAAGAATCTAAACTGACATAGTCCCCCAATTCACACAACACCTCCCCCCAAAACTGTATCCACACCCTACACCACACACATCCCATAGACACATTTTCTTGTAATATACATAAGTGCATTCTACTGGGCACTTATATTTATTAGAAATACCTCATTTTAGGCTCACAAGTACCTTGCCAGGCAGGTATTATCATTTCTAATTATAGATGAATAAATAGATTCACAGAAGGCCAAGTCACTTGCCAAATACATCAAACAAGTGGACAAAGCCAGACTTGACACCCAGGGTCCTGACTGGGTTTGAAGCCATTCAGTATTTTCCCATCTGCCATGTTGATCCCCCAGTGGCCTTAGAGGTATTTTTTCCTACATCACTGATCCGCTAGCTCAGATCAGTGAGGCTCAGTAATGAGTTAGCGCTGGGCTGTGTCTACTCCACCATCTTTTCATCCTGCTGCTCTTCCTTTAGCCTCAGGTGAGCCCTTGGTTCTGAAGAACATCACCACAGAAATGGCCGGGTACTACATCTGCACCTCCAGCAACGATGTCGGGGTTGAGTCCTGCAACATCACCGTGGCTCCCAGACTTCGTAAGAGCAGAGTGGAGAGGGAGGGTGCAAGGCCCAGAGGTGGCTGCTTGGGGCCCAATTGGAGGTGAATGAGGTGGCCACTGTGACCCTGGAGAGATGGCTTCCAGCCCAGGCTTTCCTCTCCCTGAGGTCAGCCCAGCTCCTCCTGTTCTTTGGAAATAGAGCTTGGGACAGACTTCTGGAGACCTCTTCAGCCACGCCTGTCTCGTGGGCCACTCAGAGGGCATGAGAGAAGTGCCTAGAACCAGTTGCCTTGATCTAAATCCTAGTCTCTTTTTGTGGGGAGAAGAGAGACCACAGTTATCTCCAGGATAAGCCAGAAGTTGGCAAAGCTAACACTCAGGGTCTTTGCAGAGCCTGGGTAGCCCAGTATCAGGATGCTCTAGTCTGTCTCCTCCTCTTAGCTCCTCTGTCCTTAAGACTGTCCTCAGATCCATGTGTCACAATCTTCCAGGGTCATGACTTTTGTGGAGTGCTGCCAGAGGCTTGTAACCATTGCTCCCTAGGCTGGTAGAAGAACTGGAGCGGGCCAGAGGCTGGGAGCGACCAGCCTGCTGTGACTGGCACCAGAGCTGTGGTTCCTCACCTCTAAGCCTGGCTTTCTCCTCTTTTGCTGGGGTTGGGTGGAGGGGGGTGGAGTTTGGCTCAGAAGGTACAGCTAACTGTCCATCCTCTTGTAGCTACCATGAACATCGCGCTGTATGCGGGCATTGCGGGGGGGTGCATTTGCGGCCCTCATCATCATTGGCGTCATCGTCTACTGCTGCTGCTGTCGGGAAAAGGAGGAGAAAGCCGAGGACCGGGAGGACGCAAGGCCGTAAGTGTGCAGGGCTGGACAAGCGCTTGGAAAGAAGCAGATGGAAATGCACCCCGACTCCTTGGGCGCGGACCCAGGCAGTGTCCTGGGAGACCCCGTTGCTTCAGTCTTCCCCAGCTGCAGTTGAGGATGCGCAGCTCACGCAAATCAAAGGCAGACTGCAGTCCTGCCCGTGTCCCCTGTGCCTGTAGTTTGCATCTCGGGGTAGGCAAGCCAAGGCTCACTGCTTCCACAGTCTCCTCAGCCCACGAGTGAGATCTCACTGTGCACTCTTAAACCAACACTGCTGTGCAGAGTCCCTTTGCAGCTCCTGGGTGGGGATGGTGGTGGGACCACCTTACCCTGCCCTCCCCCCCATGAGGGCTAACCTTCTCTTTCTCCATTGCCCTGTAGGAACCGAGCTGCTTACCAAGAGCCTCGAGAGCAGCGGACAGAAGTTTCCAGGGGGAGGGAAGATGAACAGGACTACAGGCAAGGGGACCAGAGGAGCTCAGGGCGTAGCTCTCCAGACCAACCCTTCCAGTAAAGGGGGCCTGTCACCAAGGGGAGGAGGAGGCCTAGGATCCAGCCTCCCAGTTCTGGCTTCTTTTCTCTCTAGCCCCATAATCCTGCCTCTCCCCAGCCATTGGTGGAGTGCATCTTCCTGTGTGTGTGTTTCTGGGAGCATCATTGGCCTGGTTACATGGGTCCTGCCTGTGACCCCAGTGACCACACTGAAAAGACCCTTCCCTGTTGCTGTGACTCAGGGCTGGGACTTCCTAACCCAGCAGCACCCTCTGCCTCCCTTGTGACTGGCAGGGGCCTAGAAGCTTAGCATTGAGCAGGGGTGGCTTCTGTTTGGAGCTCCCCATGCAGCCAGTGCCAGCTTCAGAAGGGTGGGAGTCTGCCCTGCCGACCACAACCATCCCTCAGGGGAGAACCTGTGGATGGACTTGCACTCAATATTTTTGTTGAATGAAGGAAAGAAATCAAGAATGTGATGAAGGCCCTGTGATTTTCCCAGCTGAATTGTGCTCTCCATGCTTGGGGGCCACGGTGGCCTCCAGCTTCTGCCTCAGCCTCATCCCCCCCATATTGCTCCTGCTCCCAGACACATGCCTTCTTAGGACTTCCCTAACACAGTTCTATCCCTGCCTGTCAAAATCCCGTCTGCCCCTATAGCCTACCACTCTTGAACCCCAGTGTTTTTCTTACTCCTGTTGTGACCGCTCCCGCGCAGGGAAACAGCAAAGTCACTTTTTCCTACACCCAGCCCTGGACAACTGCAAGGCCATCAGAGCTCTGCTTCCCGCTGTAGGTCCTTGGAGCAGGGTCTGGGCCTTGGAGCCTGTCAGCTTCAGCTGGGGACTGTCCTCATAGTCATAGGCCGGGCTCAGCCTCTCTCTTGTGACTTGTGACCCTGATGATGCCACCCAAGCAATGTGCCGGTCTGGTAAGGTGAGCAGACTGGTTCAGAATGAGCAGCACACAAGCTTGCCTGTCTGCCACCCCTGCCCAGCCACCAGTCTCTGAATGCCAGCTGAGCCTCGCTGGCCTGCCCACAGCCCCCAAACCCACCCCTCTGGTAAGCTCTCTCACTCTCCAGGGCTCAGGCCAGACGGGCTGCTCCAAATGTGCTTTACCATCCAATAAACTTTTCTGGCTCACCAGAAGAGCAAGCATATAAATCCCTTTTCCCCTTCTGGTTTTATTTACACGTATATTTTTATATACTTTGCTAAACTCATTGTTTAATTCAAAATGTTTCCTTATCAATAAAGTTACCAGTGGAAATCCCCTTTCCTTTGTTCGCCTGCCCTTTGTTCATGCCACGTATACATGCTGCCTCGTGGTCTTTAAGGCAAGGTGACCAGGTAGAGAATCTTGGGATTCCTTTAGGTGTGGCCAAGGTAAGGGCAGGCAGTAATTCTCAGGGTGGTTGGGGACAGGAAAGAGCTCAGTCTGGTGGTAGAGGTGTGCTCTGAGTGTCAGAAGATCTAGTAGACCTGGGAATCATCCACGTGCTTCTAGGATGGTGAGAGAGATGCTCTAGTCCGTGACATCCCTCCTGAGGACATGGGCAGAGAACTGCTGCAGAGAACTATGGTGTGTCTCCCCCAGAGTAGCTTGGATCCATAGTCAGTGCTCAGCTTGAACACAAAGACACTTTCAGGGTCATCTCCTTCGTGTCCCTTCTGGTGGAGGCCGGTACTTCTCCTGTACCAGCATCTGTCACATGGTGCCACCACAACTTGGGCTTATGCCTTTGCCTCTGTCTCTGCCTACAAGATTCATGAGCATAGGAACTGGTCCAGGAAGGCATTGGGTAAGGTTAACTAAATAGATAATGGTTACGGTCACAGTGTCTTGCTCAAGGACTAGCTCCTAGTCCCCTGGCTACTTTGAGGAACCAGTATCCCTCATGGTTCATGGTTCCATAAGCATGTCTGGAAGCTATTCAGTCCTCATTGGTCCTTCACCTGTCCTGTTAGCTCTGGCTTAGAGAAGAGCACAGGTGAGACCAGGCCCTACTTCAGCATGGATTTTGTGAGCATCTGCTACCCTCTGTGATGCTCACTGGGTACTGAAGAGCTGGCATCCAGGGCAGGCAGCAGACACAGGAACATGAGACGAGAAGGACTGGGGCCAGGTGGCTGTGTGAAAGTTCAGGGTTGGGGGAGTGTTCCTCAGGGATGAGGAATGATTCAGAGGAGGCGACACTTGGCTGCATCTTGACAAAACAGAGCAGGTACTGACAGTTGTCCTCTAGTGCGGGGCTCAATTGCCTGGGTATCAACTTTCATCATCAATTGGCAATACTACAGATTCCTGCTGAATTTATTTCAGTCCAGAAATGGCGGCAATAAGATGGTTGTAGGTTCCCACGCAGCAGCCACAGCTAGTCCAGCACAGGTGCTCCAAGGCTTTGGGTGGTGCTTAGACAGGCCTCTGAAGAATGAGATGCAGCTTATAATTAGCTACTCTCCAGGGGCTTCTAATTAAGTTGCTTTTGTGGGTGACAAAGCACCAGCTCTCAGAGGCAGAGTTCACAGGGCCTGGTGTACACCAGTGGCAAGCACCTTGTATACATTTTCCACATCTCCTCTATGCTCCTCACAGCAGCTGAATGAGGCAGGTGCTGTCTCAGTCAGTGTTCCATTGCTGTAAAGAGACACCCTATCCATGGCGACTCTTATAAAGAAAGAAATTTAATTGGGGGGACTTTACAGTTTTAGAGGTTTAATCCATTGTCATCATGGCAGGGAGCATGGTGGCGTGCAGGCAGACATGGTGCTGGAGAAGTAGCTGAGAGTTCTATTTCAGGATCCGTAGGCAGCAGGAAGAGAGCAACACTGGCCTGGTTTGGGCCTTTTAGACCTTAAAGCCCACCCCCAGCGACACACTTCTTCCAACAAGGCCACACCTACTACATCATCTCAAGTAAGGCCACTCCCTAATGATCAAGCATTCAAATCTATGAGCTTATAGGGGTGGGGTCACCTTTACTCAAACCACCACAGGTACTTTTAGTATTCCCATTTTACAGTGTGGAAAATTCAAGTACTTAAAACACTGAATGCCAAGTTGCTATTTCCAGTTATAATATCTTTTTGTCCACCTGACTGGGGCATGCCCTCAATTGCTCACTCAACATGAAATCAGAGAAGAGAAGTTGGCTGCCTTCTAGGAACTCTCATCGTCTATACCAGCACTTACAAGCAGACATTAAAGTGCTGGTGAAGTTTCTAGAAGCTTTTCTGGTCTTGGTTCTATCCCTGTATATTGTTTCAGGGCCCTCTCTGGTCATCTTCACAGGTGATCTCTCTGGGAAGCAGGGTCCTGTGGGTGGAGCCTCTTTTGCCCCGCCCCTTCATTTGCATCCTGGGATTGTTTCTCTTCAGATGTCATCTACATTTCCAGAGGCACCAAGCTGGTGTCTGTGATAGCTCTTGCTTGTTGTACAACCACAGCAGACCATGTTAGCTAACTTTTCTCTTTCTTCCTCTTCACGCACTTTCTTAGTCTTGAGAAAACCTTCCTCCAGTTCCAATGAAGTCGGCTCTGCCTGCAAGTTCCTTAAAGGGGTAGATTTCTGCTGTAATCAGGGATATATCAGTTTTCAAGCTCATCTCACATGGGCACTCTTTCCACGACTGCCTGGCTGATGGATGGATTTTCGTTTCAATTAAGATTAACCCAACTGCTACAGAGATGGACTTAAAAATTTTGATGACTGAAAAACCAACAGAAGTTGTTTTCTCACACACTAACAATTTTTGAGACACTCAAGGTCTCCATCTCCTGTTTGTCTTTAAAAGTAATTTTATTATACATTTATTTGGTTACTTTGCATATGTGGGGCATAATTGTGGAGAACAGAGGACAACTTTCAGGAGTTGGTTCTCTCCTTGTATCATGTGGGATCCAACTCAGGTCCTCAGGCACCTTTACCCAGCCATCATCACTGAGTGAGCATCCAGTCTGCCTAAGGGGTGGGATATTCCACACTCAGGAACCAGGAACTGTTTGCCACCAGCCAGCAGAAGAGACAAAACACACGATAAAGTCCAGTGGTCTCTTTCAACTTTGGTCCTGAGGTGACAACAGAGATTCTGTTCAGGCCACACGTGAGTCACCGTGTCACACAGCATGTCATGTCAGGAGGCAGCAAGATGCCGGCCTGTAACATTGGCATGGAGAAAACAAGAATTGGCGGTTGGTTTTTGCCACCATCGCTTCATCCCATCCTCCCTGAACTTCATTTTACAGAGGAGACCAGGATGTCCAGGGGTTAATGTCATTAGAGGTGACAAAGCCTGTAGGTGGTAGGGTAAGGCTGAGATTCGGAGCTGATGGCTCCCGCCATCTGATCACACCTCCTCCTGGCCCCACGTACATGCAGAGGGTGGGCACAGAGTAAACGAGACCAGAGGCCAAATGAGGGCTGCTCGCTTTAAATTTTTATGTGTATGAGCTACATAATGAGAGCTTGCTCAGAAAGCAATCAAGTTTTGTAATGAGATGTTGCGTTTTCTGTGTCATCAGGTATGAGTCATCCCTTGCACCTTTTGAAGGGACAGGGTGACTCATTCAGCTTTGTGAAAATGTTAGATGATTCACTAAAAATTTCACTTACTGCGGAGTAAGTCCCTCCCCAAAGAAATCTCAGAGATGCTCAGATCCTATTTGGAGAGGACAAGTATCATTCATTGCTTTTCAAGATGCAGAAGAAGGTGGGTGTGGGTGTGGGTGGGTGGTGTCCTTAGCTGGCCACACCTGCAGCAGTGCATCTAGGTACCAGAAGAAGAGGGAGGAGGGAGGAGGGACGCCTACATACATGTACAGCATGCAGGAAAGTGGCAAGATTCTGTAGCACTTCCACCCTACATTTTTTTCATCTTAAACTATTGCAGTTTTTAATCTCAAACTTAAAAAAAGATCCAAGTATGATACAAAGACCTATGCTTGAATGATGGGAAGTTACTGACACACTGGACACTTTAGTGTGTTTCCCTTGTACAAGGATATTCTCCTATAAAACTACTGTATATCCACCAAAACCAGGAAAGGGCATCATCGCCATTTCATGACAGTCCCATCCCCAGAACCCATCAAGTCCACAGGATTTCCAGGAATGCCCACGAAAGTGAGAAGGCCCAAGTTAGATTTTCTCACTGCATTTTTACCTCACATATATTTGGTCTTCTTTAGGCTAGACCAATTCATCCTTCCTTCCTTCCTTCCTTCCTTCATTTCTTTTCTTTCTAGATTTTTGTGACTTTGACACTTCTGATGACTACAAGCCAGCTTTGTAAGACACCTCTGAGTTGCTTGATGGTTCCTCATGACAAAATCTGTGCATCTCTGATGAAGGAACCACAGAAGGGAAGCTTCGTTCTTGTCCCTGCATCTTCTCAATTGGGGCAGGCCTTATAGGATTCCAGTTTCCCTATTGCTGGGGATATCATCTTTGTTCACTGGGTCAAGGTGGTGTCTGCAAGATTTCTCTGCTCATTTCCCATTGTAAATACTTGTAAGTATTGGAAAGATCTCAGGTAAACAATTCTCCTCAAACTATTCACATATTTATGAAGTCTCTGTAGAATTTTGTGCTTCTATTTCATTCTCCAGGTTACAATTCACCACTGGTATTTTTTCCAGATATTTGAACCATTCCATATTGGCTAGGGAGTCCTTCCTTGGCCATTGATGTGTCTCTATCATTCTACAATCCCATGAGCTTGCTTTGTATCATTTCCATCCCAGCTCTGACATCAGCTGTTCCTCCATGGATCATCTGTCCAGTTTAGGATAATGGTTCCCAGGAAATGAGATGTGTTCATTTCTCCTAAGGAATCACTGCTCTCAGGCTTTCTTAGCAGTCAGTGGTCAGACGTAGTGGATGAAAGGCATGTGCTCTTGAACTTACATGTATGTTTTCATGTTGAAGACAAATGTTGCTACCAATGTCTTCATTTCCCATCCAACAATTCACAGGGTTCATTTGAGTTTCTTTTGACTGCAAGAAGCCAAAACCCCATTCTCTTTAATCTATTTACTTACTTAGGCAGTTTCTCTGTGTTGTAAACCACTTTCCATTCACCATCTTTCCCTCTCTGCCGTGTGTGACCCAGCATAGCCCATGTTCTGCCTTCCCTAGTGCGGAGCCTGGCTTGTGAAGATGGTCATTTGCACTTCAAGAAGCCTGTAGCCTCTGCTTTCATATTCAGTTACCCTACTCATATCGACTTCTGGATGTAGTGTGAAGTGTTCAAATACACGTTGAAGGCATTTTTGTCCATGCTATTGTATATACAATTGTGTCTATCATTTACTGAGAGGGTTCCTTCTCCCATGGACCTGCTTTGGCATCTTGACAAAAAATAAATTGAAGTGTGGGTCTGTTTCTGGACTCTCTCCCTTGAGATGTCTGTCTGTCTTTATGCTAATACTGTTCTACCTTGAATACTACCGTGCAGAATAAGCCGTGGTTAAAATCAGTTAAAATCTCTATAGTACTTTTTCAGGGTTGTTTTTGACCATTCTAGATTCTTTGATTTTTGGTATCATATGAGAATTAATTTTTACATTTATAAAATAAACTCTTGGAATTTTAGTTAATACATCAAGCTGAGAATGCTGACTCCTTCTAGCTTACGAAGAAGCACATTTCTCCTGTTGTTCAGATCTCTGGCCCCTTTTAGCTTATGAAGATGGCATTTAGATCTCTTTAATTTCTCACAGAGATACTCAGCAGTTCAAGTACAGAGATTTTGCAGGTGTTTGTTCCATAATAAAAATGCTTTATGGTTTTGCTATTGTTGTAAATGGAATTAGTTTTTATATTTCCATTTAATTTGCTTAATTTATTTTGCATCTCTATTAGATATACATTTAAAATAATTATGTTTTCCCATTTAATTGGTCATTTTGTCAGTAGCAAAACGTGTTATTATCTAGCTATGGTAATACTCTTTCTTGAAGTTTGTATTAGCAAATGCTAAACATAAACTAATATGTTTATATACTACAAGCCATTTGCTATCATTACTTGTTTTGACATTAATAAAACATATATTAAGATGTTATAAATATGTGAGATATAGCCCTGTGATGGTGGAGTAGGAACTATGATTAAAACAAAACTTTGCTTCTTAACAATGTGTGGTATATGTGCGGGTCTATGTGTGTTTGCCCTTGTGTGTAGGTGCCTTTGGAGGCCCGAAGGAGTTGTGAGCCTCCCCAAGTGAGTGCTGGGAACTGAACTCAGGTCCTCTGTATGAGCAGCAAATATTCTTATATTTTCGGTTGTGAGCCTAGCCCTTAATGGCTAAGCCATCACTCCAGCCCAAGCAGCAAACATTCTTAATCACTGAGTCATTGCTCCAGCCCATGAAAAAATTCCATGCTTCCTGTTTTTACGATACAGCCATTTTCATAATTTTACATTTAATGTACTTATGTAATTATATTTAAACTAGATTTCCCCCTTATAATCTATGCTGACAATGTCTTGCCTCTGCGTGGCCCACACTGGCCTTGAACTTGGGATCTGCTTACCTGCCTCCAGGGCAGGCTCATGGTTTCCTAGGCGTCAGTCTGCCATCACCTGGCGCCACTGTTTCTGGGCTCATGCATGGTGAGACAGAGCAGCCCTGTGGGGGGCATGTGCTTGAGGTAAGGGGCTCACATCATGGAGGACAGGAAGCAGAGACCAAGGCAGAATGGAGTCCAGGACAAGACACTGTCCCCATGGACACACACATCCTATTAGAGCCAGGCTATGCATCCTGAAGTTTACAGTACCACCCCCCAAAAAAATCTCTGGGGACTAAGCTTTTAATACACAAGCCTTTGTGTGTTTGGGGGACAGTTCATATCCAAACTGTGACAGACAGCCCCACCTAAAGGCCTATAGAGGACTTAGAGGTAAGGAGTCTTTCTGGGGCGGAAAGAGGTTAAAAGCAATCTGCTATAGTAAATACAAGGAAAGCAGAAAGTCCCTGACCTGATTTTTCAGTAGTCTTCCCCCTGGCCTGCTCTGAGCCCAGAAGGAAAGAAGAGAGGAAGGAAGGGATGGAGGGGTGGGAGACGGAGGAGAGAGGAGAGAAAAAGAAAGGAAGAGACAGTTCTCTGCTTGGTTTTCAGAAGCCATGAAGGAAGTCACTTGGCATTTTATGCTAGGGAGCACTCACTCAGAGCTGCAGAGGACTATAGCCCAGGCAAGAGGAGGAGCTGAAGAGGGCGTGATGTTGGGTTGGTCTAAGGAGCTGCCAGGGAGAAAGCTGAGATCTCTACACTCATTTTACTGCTGTAGTCATTCTCGTTAAGGTAGTGGTAAGTATCCCCACCTGTCATTTCACTACTGTAACCCTGAGCAGCATGGCATAGTTATGATCACAACGGCCATATTGTCCTCCCTGATCTTGCCAGGGGTCACATGCAGGTGAAACACATAGCCCATAGTAGTGCCTCTTCTTTTCATGGATGGAATCTATCCCGTTTCCATCCATCTCTCATGATGACTAGAAGTTATTAAGAGAGTTACAACTCCAGGTCTTAGTAAGGATCTGGGGCTGGGGATGTATAGCAGTAGAGTTGCTTCTGCAAATGAACCAGGCCCTGGGTTCTATCCTCAGCACTGAGAAAAGAAACACAGCGACCCAGAGTAATAGTAGGCTGGAAGCCATTAGGACAGGAGGCAACCAGTTCAAATTGAGACCTGACTGCTCATTAGGCTTTGCATATGAGGCATCCCCTAGGAGACTTATGAAGAACCATTGGAGCTGATAGGCTTGGGGGAAAGTGACTGGATCATGAGGGCTCTGACACAACCAGTAGATTTGCCTATTGATGGTTTCAAATTTGATGGCATCCTTGGGACATGGTGAAAACTATAGGAGGGAACTCAGCTGGAGGGAACAGCTTACTGGGAGCATGCCTCTTCAGGAAATGCCTTCCCCATGGCCCTTCCAACCTCCTGCTTCCTGCCCACCACAAGGTGAACAGACATTTCTCTCCACTATATAGGCCTGAGGTCAATGGAGTCATCCAGCCATGAACTAAAACTTCTCAAACTATGAGCCCTTTGAATCGTTTCTCTTAGTTATGTCATATAGCAAAAAGTCTGAGCAGTACATTGCCTTTCATCACCAGATGACAGGGGAGGTGACCCAACGTCAGGAAACATCCCACACCCGAGCTCCCTTTCCTGAAGGTAGAGGTTGAAGGAGTTATAAGAAGGCAGTGGAGATCCTTAAAAAGTTCAACAGAGATAATGACTTCAATCATTGCAACTATATCCTGTTTCCTCCTGGCAGTTGGCTAATGACCCATCTAGTCACTGGATCTTCTGTATTTCCCATTGCTTTATTCCTTTATGGAATAATTCTCTTCACACCACCTTATAGTCCACCGACTCCAGGACAGGGGATGGCTCAGTTTGGGCTCCTCTGAAAGCAGAGCCTATCATCAAGGTGTTTGTCTTCAGTGGTATCAGGGAATAGAAGTGATGGAGAAAGGAGAGTGGGGTAGGGAGAAAGACAGCAGTATGTTTTGGCACCTGCCATTGCTACAGACAAGGTTCCAATCTCAAAGGGGAACCATTGAGAAACTTGGAATTGCCTCAGGCTGTTGGTCCCACTTAGAGATGGGTAGGTGGAGCATTTACCTACCAATTGTCAGATTGCCAACTCTCAAATAATGACACAGTAAATATGAAAACTTGGTCTTAGCTTACGCTTGCTCCCAACTAGCTCTGAAAACTTAAATTGCCCCATTTAAATTAATCTACATTCTGCCACATGGTTAATTACTTCTCCTTAGTATCTTATGTCTGACTTCCTTTGTATCTGTCTTCCCATCTCAGATTCTTTCCCAGAGTTCCTATCTCTGCCAGGAACTCCCACCTATCCTCTCCTGTCTTCTTATTGGCCATTCAACTCGTTATTAAACCAATCAGAAGAAGGTACCTTAGATAGGTGAAATAAAACAGACACATATTTACATTGTACAAAAAGATTATCCTTATATAAGGACCTACAATCTAATTTAGTAAATAAACAAATGGAAAATCTAACAACTGAAGGATTGGTCTATAAGGAATAGCTGGATCCCAGCCATTCACAGCCATAAGCGTCAGCCAATCACAGGTGGCCAACTTTTCAAAGTACGGATAAGCAAACAACTATCATCAATCCACTTGTCTTTGTACCTGCTTCTGTTTTCTATATGTCATTTCCTTTTCTCTTGCTTTAAGTGTAATCTGTAAATGTGTTGAGTTGGAACATTCTCTTGTCCTGGCAGATTCTAGAATTGCAAATAAAGCTCAATTAAGACTGCAAAACTAGATTTGTTGTGATTGTCTCTCTAATAGGGTTTTTCTGTGGCTGTCATTTCCCTAATTCTTGCTATATGCTCCTGTGTAGGTAGGTGGCATTTGAGGCAAAAAAAATAATTGCAGTATACAATACAGTAGCTATAGAGGAATAATTCCTGGCCCTGTCCATTACAGCTGCACTGAAGTCAGGTGATCAAGGGAATGAGGTCTAGAGACCTACAAATGTTTGCTTAGGTTCTAGCCTTGAGACTACAAGTCTGCCCTACCTCCAGGAAACCCTGATACCCAGAGAGACCCTTTCTGGCAAAAAAACCTGAAGTTCCTCTTCAGAGATCCCCCTTCTCCTAGCTGTATGGAAGCCTCCAGGGAGCAGAGGCTGGAAGCCTGGTCAAGGGTCTTTTACTACTTCTAAGTTAGCACCCCCTTGATGCCTCTGGCCACTGTGGCATGTGCCCATGTCCAGAAGAGACTGATGACTGTGTCTTTTCATAATGTCTGAACACATTGGATAATAAAAATGTCACACACTTTATCAATTCTGTTAGCTTCAACTTGTCAGTTAATCTTGATGTTGTTAGATAGCTGGCTGTTGGCAATCATCGGTTTATTTCAAGTACTAATATTAACTCAGATCACATATTGTACTTAACACAGTTTTAACACACTTGCAGATTACAGGGTGGCAAAGAAAAGGTTAAAGTGGCTGCAGTTCAGAGGCCATTCTGAAGTGGGAGGCGAAAGGCTGACACGGGCATAGGGAAGAGCCTTTTTGTTTTGTTTTGTTTTTTTGTTTTTTTTCGAGACAGGGTTTCTCTGTGGCTTTGGAGGCTGTCCTGGAACTCACTTTGTAGACCAGGCTGGCCTCGAACTCACAGAGATCTGCCTGCCTCTGCCTCCCGAGTGCTGGGATTAAAGGCGTGTGCCACCAACGCCCGGTAGGGAAGAGCCTTTAGGGGACAAGGAAGGAAGTCTTAGATCCATGTGTGGATGTCAGATGTGGGCCAGGGGCATGGGCTATTTTGATGGTCAGCTTGATATTCACTGGCTGTCAACATGCAGGAGAAACTACCCTGGAACTAGAACTTGGGGACAAAGACAGGCATCCTTTCCTGGAACAATTTTCCTGGAAGAGGCTCATGGCAAACAACTGGCTGACTAGTCAGTCTGCTTGCCAAATTTCAGCCCTGGGATGCTCCTCGGTTAGAGGTTACATCTGTGTGACTGATAAACACATTTGTCTGGTGTTTCTGACATAGCATGTTTACAGGTACCATTATTTGTCAGTACAGATAATTATCAGTTTGTCTCCCAATGTTCTGACAGGTGGCAGTTGTTTATGTAAACAAGGTTAAGTCTTGTAAGGTTCAGTCTTCTTCTTCTTCTTCTTCTTCTTCTTCTTCTTCTTCTTCTTCTTCTTCTTCTTCTTCTTCTTCTTCTTCTTCTCCTCCTCCTTCTCCTCCTCCTCCTCCTCCTCCTTCTTGTGGTGCTTAGGCATGAAATGGAGTAACTTAGGTCAAAGCTCTTGCTTTACAAAATGGGATAATCATTTAATACAACACAGAGCAACCCAGGGCAGACCCAGCTTGGCTTCGCAGGCCTGCAGTATTGGGCTATAGCAGCCTACTTTCTCAGGTGTGACTGGATAGGGGATAACTTGCCCAAGGTAACACACTGAGGATAAATGATACAAAATGAACACTTTTCCAGTCTGAGAGGCCTAGATCTCCATCTCTTCCAGCACAGTTCTGAAGCCTCCAGCTGGTTCGCTTTTCTCCAGTGAGCTCTCCATTCTCCTGTCTGCGGTAGTACTTACTATTCTACCTTTGCACAGTGACCTGGTACTCACCTGCTGAATACTTGGCTTGCTAAAAACCTTGGAATGTGTTCTGTGTATCAGTGATCCCTCACAGCTCCATATAGTAACATGTGGAGGGCCTCTACTTGGGTACTGCTTACATCAGGCAGTTTAGCTTCCACAAAAGGATACCCTCTGACCTCCTTCCTGCCTAGGCTGGATTTTCCAGGAAGAACATCAGTACCTAAACTAGGCAAAGAGTATTTGTGGTCCCTAAACTTCAAGAGACTAACGTTGGGCTTAGTGCCAAACAGTGACTTCAAAATCCAGTTGAAGAAATTCTACTTAGAGCGAACTGTATGCAGCAGGCAATAGTTACTCTACTCTGTTCTCAAGGCAAGCTCTTGGATCTATATACTTGGTTGTACCATTTTGACATTGGCATTAATTTGACATAAATACTTGGCATAATTCCCCTGGATATTGTAGGAAGCTGTCAGAAATAGCATTAAGCCTCCACCTTTGTATTTATAGTTAGGATGTTGCTGAAAATGGCTTTGTACATTGCAAGTGATTTGTTGAAAAGAATCCACTTGGGAATTTTCTCTCAAATCTGCTTGCTAGGAAGGTCATTGCTACTCATAAACAATGGATTTGCTATGGATTATTTTAATTTAAAGATATCTTGCACCATAATTTGTTTTTTCTTTGCAACGGTTGCTAGGAAACTCAGTTGAACTATACAGAATTTTTCAAAATGGAGTTGGCGAAGAAGTTTTGTCCATAGTTTCATCTCCCTTTACCTTTCTTCCCCTTGAAGTAATGGTAATTCCTTAGTTTTCATGTTTCATACCTTTATGAATTTACCTTACAATCTTTGAAACGCAATGCAGGGCTGAATTAGCAATGAAGATGAATAGTAACAACAATTTTGGAGAATGAAGTTGAATGTGTGAGCTCTGGAGGGTTGTGGTTGATTTTGGACTTTGGGGTCATAGGCGTCAAAGAGTTTAGGAGCCAGGTATGGTGACATCCTGGGATCTAGAACTCTAGAGGCAGAAGCAGAAAAAATGGTCAGAAGTTCTAGTTCACTGTCTTAGTCAGGGCTCTCCAGAGTCACAGGACTTACAGAATGAATATATATTTCATATATACATATATATATATATGAATGAAATTTATAGAATGACTTACATGCCTCTGTCCAACTAATCCAGTGTGAATGGAAAGTCCAAGAATGGGTGTCTCAGCTGGTTTTCTGTATATGCTGGAATCCAAAAAAGCAGTTTCCAGGGCCAGTGCTGACAAGCCGAGGCCAGGCAGGCAAAAACCAAAAGTTTCCTTCTTCTACATTTTTATACAGGCTTCTAGCAGAAGGTGTGGTGCAGATTAAAGGTGTGTCATCCCACCTCGAGATCTGAACTGAATGCCTGTGTCTTCCAGTCTCAACATTGGGATCACAGGTGTGCCCTCATTTCTGGATTGTAGTTCATTTCAGATAGTCAAGTTGACAACCAAGAATAGTCACCACGACTTTCCTGGTCAGCACAGAGCAGCCTAGACTATAGGGTAAGACTTGTTTCCAAAAAAGAAACCAGTTTCCCCCTGCCCAAGATGGAATAAAAACAAAACAAAAGAAGGGTGAAGTGGTCCTGGGCATGGAAGAAGTATCTGGGTAGGGTGTGTGGTGAGAAAGGTGCTGAGGCCCTTTCTTAGGACATGTTGGACAGGAGGTGGAGGAACAGAACTCAGCGGAGGAGGTGGGAGAGGCCTACAGGCAGCTTGAGGAAAGCCCAAGGCAAGGTGGCCCACAAAACCATAGGACACAGCACTCTCCCCTTTAAATTATTTTTTTAAAGCCCTCATGTTTCTGTTCTATTCTTCATAAAACCAACCAGAGGGATTTCACATTAAAAAAACCTCAACCAAGCACAGTTTATTGAGGGTGTGACCCCCCCACCCATAAATCAATTTTAGGTTATTCACAGCAATAGGCTTTTCTTTTCCCCATGTTCCCACCAGCCTTGGCATACCTGTCAGTATTGTGTCCAGCCCCGGGGTGAGACAAGTCTTCCAGCACTTTCAGGCTGAGAGTGTGCCCAGGACCACAGGTGGATGGCCTTCCAATGAGATAGGTCCCAGTGCTCTCAAAGCATCGGAGGCCCAAAGGGATGCCCTTGTCCACTTAGCATCTCTGGAACAGCAGGGAGGCAGAGAGAGTTTCTGCAGGGAGACACCTGGACTCTTAATTCAGGCTGCTCACTCTCCCTGCCTCACTTAGCAATCAGAACCCGAGAAGCAAGAAGCTTTTGGTTCCTTTTAGCTGTCAGAGAAGGCAGGCTCTCTGGCTGATGGGCAATCACTCCATAGTTTTCTAGAAGGAGCAGAGCAGCAGCTGTCTTGGAGCACGGACTTGGTGGGGTGTATTCTGAGCATCTCATGTTGCCAGCATCTAGGAAGAGGCTTCAGACCCCCTCCTGAAACACTAACAAGCCATTTTCTGGAGACTCAGCACACCCCAGCTTGTCGGTTCCCTGTCCCCAATCTCTTGTTCCTGGCACTGAAGTTCACGCTGTCAAAGGTAGGAATGTGCAGGGAAATGGTCGCCAGGAGATAGAAGGAACACAGAACTTTATAAAGCACAGTGAAAAAACCCGACCCATCCCAACCTTCTAATAATGCCATTTTCTTTTCAGACTCTAGATAAACCGAGGCTCGGAATATTGAAGTGACTTCTCAGGAGCCATGAAAGGGTTAGTGACAGGTCTAAGTTCTGGGTTTGCTACTGAACCCTTCTTTTTGGGGTTGGTTGTGGGAGGAGCAGAAGCCTTAAGATTTAGTTGCTTACATATACTTTTCATATCATAAGCCTTAGCCTTCCCCTTAGTAAGAAACAATTTATAATATTTATCAGCTCAGAGCAGCCTTCCTGCCCCCTGGCATGCTACTTTTATCTTGTTTCTCCAACTTTTCTTTGAGTGGCTTTCATTGTCTCATTTTCATTGTCACATTGAAAACATCCTGTAATCCCTTTGAACCTGTTCCACGACCCTGTGGAGTTCTGTTGGTTGGCCCAGGAACAGTCAAACAGAAACAATGCCACCAAACACTGCATATGCAGCATTTAAAAGTCAGGCTGGCTGGTGGTCCAGGCTGAGGGCTAGGGTCGCAGCCCCACAGCTCTCTCAGCAACTCAATGGCTGATCCTGTAGAAATAGCTCAGGAAGACCTGAAAACTTAGATGCCACAAGGCTTGGTTAAGTGGCAAGATCTCTGGAATTTTTCCCATTTATTAATAATGAGAAAAAAAGGAAGCTAAAGATCCTTTTATAGGGTAATCTGTCATTTTTATGGTCTGAACCAGGACTATTACCGAATCTTTGGACTCTAGTGCCCATTGTTCCAAGAACAGATAACTAACCTTACTAACGAAAATAGAGACAGAGGGAACGAAATATGAGTATATCCTTAAGGCTTTATGTTTTAGCTTAGATCAGAAGAATGCCATGGTCTATCTATTGCTCCTTGAGAAAGTTGAGCGAATTTACTGTATTTCTAGTGCCTCCAACAGGGTTTGGATACAATATGCACAAAATAATTATTACATGAATGAATTAATGAATGAAATGAACCTGGATACCCAAGATATCTAAGTTCCATTGTTACTGTCTTGAGATAGGGTCTCACTATATAGTGCAGGCGGGGCCTTAACTTCTGATTCTCTTGACTTTGTCTACCAGGGTTGAGATCACATGCATGCACCATCATGCAAGGTTTCCAGCATTTCTTGTTTTATAGTTCAAAACTATAATCAATGAAAACTACTTTTGCTCTTGCAAATGTTTTAGAGTCCTATACTACTCCATGGTCCCCTACCACTCTTAACCCAATTTAGATAGGTCCCAAGGTCGTTTTGACATATCCTATACTTGTCATAATTTAAGACTATCTTAATTTATACAAAATAATTTAAAGCATAAGAAAATACCTCACATGAGATATGAGCTAACAATTCACAAGGAAAACGTGAAAATTAGCCCTAATTCTGTGAAATAACACTTACTAATATTTATCTTACTGCAAGATAAATTTTTTTTGCAAGATAAATTTAAGTGGAATCATTTCTCACGAATGAGGCTACAAAAACTCTAAAATCTGATTTGGTGTTGCTATGATAAAACAAGAACTTTGTTTTAGATTATTGGCAGAAATGAAAAATACATAATTTAGAGAAGCTTTTTGCAAAATTTAGAGAAATTTTATATGCATTTACCATCTGATCCAGAAATCACACCAGATATTTGTCATTAAGGGATCTAGATTCAAAGACATATCTGCAAAATATGGACAAGACAATGCACAAAGTACTATTTGATGTCATGTGTAACAGCAAAGGACTAACAATGCCTGAGTCAACAGGATCCCACTTCCAAAAGCAGTAGCCCCAAGAGTGAGCCCACTACCCAAATGACGAGTTATTTTAACAATGAAATGATCTCTGGAGCACATTCACAGAACTCAGAAAACTGGTGTTCTCCTGATTAAACTTTACACAATGAACAGCAGTGGAAAATGACAAATAGAACAGAGACCAAGGGCCAGATGCACGTTTCTAGGCATCCTCTCCCAGGATGGTCACTGAATTTTCTAGACAATGATGGGTGGCAACATGCATGAAGAATGGCTAACCACAGAAGGTTTGGTGTCAGTTTTGTTTTTTATTGGTCACATAGGCATGACCTTGAAATAGGTCAACCAACACTGTGACCTAGACTCCTACTATAGATCATATTGGGAGACAAAATAAACTAGTTTGCAACAGGGAGAGAAGTAAGTGATCCACGACACTGGCAAGGCAGAGACGAACTGTGTTCTGGCTGTGACAAGACAGGGCTGCTGGGAAGGTGTAGATACAATTTCAGTGGAAATGGAGCAAGTCCTCTCATCTCCACTAGGCAAACACAGCGGCACTTTGGTTTCTGGCAAGGTTTTTGGGTAAAAGCAGTACCCAGAAAATTTGAAGAATTCAAAAAGGACATTGATTGCACCTGGTAAAAGTCAAGGGTCTAATGTTACTAGTTAAAGGCTTTTAAAGCGCTCACTGCTCTCCTTTATGACCGGCTCTATCATTAAAGCAGTTGGGGCTAACATCATGGTGTGCTGGTAGGACACAGAAAATGTGTATTATTTTTAGCAAGTTCTAGTACAAATGTTAGATGCTTCTTGGACTCTGCTGGCAGATTTGCCTCCCAGCTCCCAGGAAGCCCAATTTATTTAAATTGTCATCCCTATCAATTTAAATGGTGAAATGAACATTTTAGCGTCCTCTAGCAATGCTGTGGTGGGTGAATAAAAATCCAAGGTGGCATGCAACTTGGAACAAACTCAAAGTTTCAGAGTATTTTTTTCTTCCAAAAATTACTAAGTAAGGATAAAGTTCCAACTCAGCAACTGAGGACACCTTGCTTCCCGAGAAAGCACACGCAGCTCTATCCTAACTTGAAGTCCCCAGGAACTCATTAACTGTAGCCCTTAGTGTGGCAAGAGGGAGAAACTATTTAGAACAGCATAAATTCCACTGGTTGTAGTGAACATGCCTATAATTGTAATTTTCATATTCTCTCCAGTTAGAAAACTTTAACAGAATGCGATTTCTTAAATTGAATATAGCTGCAGATAGCAGTAGTTTCTTTAGCAGTGGATTCTTTCGGTATTACATATTTTAAAAATCCTCATGGCCTGAGGATTAGAAGGTGTAATTTTCTTTTCTTTCTCTCTTTCTCTCTTTCTCTCTCTCTCTCTCTCTCTCTCTCTCTCTCTCTCTCTCTCTCTCTCTCTCTTTTTTTTCTTTCTTTCTTTCTTTCTTTCTTTTTTGGTTTTTCGAGACAGGGTTTCTCTGTATTGCTTTGGAGTCTGTCCTGGAATTAGCTCTTGTAGACCAGGCTGGCCTCGAACTCATTGAGATTCACCTGCCTCTGCCTCTGCCTCCTGAGTGCTGGGATTACAGGCTTGCACCACCAATGCCTGGCTGAAAGTGTCATTTTCTTCTGAAGGTTGTAAATGTTTCATTTTCACATACAAAGTCCTTAAACAAAATGGGACTGTTCCTAAATAGTGAGAAGTGAAATTCAGGCTTTCCCTTTATGCCACTCTGTCATACACCACTGTCCCACGAGTGGGTGGGACTTTTGATTCTGTTCCTGGCGTTACTGTACTTCCATAACTCAGAATCTTAGTATCATCATACATGATGTAACAAGTTAATGAAGACCTGGTGAGCCAAGTCCCTCCTTCACCGTATCGCTTCTCTATGGGGGCTCTTCTAGATTTTCTTTACCTTTATTCTTCATGGAATTGACATAGGTCTCATGAAAACATCACATAAAATGCATTTTGAGTGGAATTGCACTAAATTAATCAGCGAAGGGGATACTTTTAATGTTTTCCCATTAAAAATAATACTGGCCAGGGCTGAGGAAATGGCTCAGCGGATCACATGTATTTCATGTAAGCATGCAGACTCACGTCTGGAACCCTAGCACCCACATAGAAGTTGGGTGTGGTGGCTCACCTGTAACCCTACCTTTGGGAGTTGGGGATGGTGTACCAGGCTTATTATATTTCTTACTTCTCTATATCTTACTTTCACTGCTTCTCTGTGTCTGGCCGGTGACTGCCTGGCTTTTGGCCCCAGGTGTCTCCTTTGTTCTCTCCCCTCTTCTCTTTTTGAGCCTACATTTCTCCTCCTATTTATTCTCCCTGCCTGCAAGCCCCATCCAGCCTTTCTCTGCTTAGCTATTGACTGTTCAGCTCCTTGTTAGATGAATCAGGTGCCTTAGGCAGGCAAGGTGAAATAAATGCAACACATTTTTACATAATTAAACAAATGCAGAATAAACAAAAGTAACACATCTTTACACAGTTAAAGTAATATTCAGCAGCATAAAAATGTAACACATCTTTACATAGTTAAAATAATATTCCATAACAGGAGAGAGGCTAGAGGATTCAGGTTCTTGTTGGCCAAGGAATCAGCCAGTCTAGCTGAAATGGTGAGTGAAATTTCACTGATATTTGTTGTAACATCCTTTACACCTCTCATTTTACTAATCTGTTTTCTCTTTTTTTCTTTTCATTAGTTTGGATAGGACTTTATTAGCCTCTTTTAAAATAACACTTTGATTCCACTTATAACAACTATTTCTTGCATTTCTGCTCTGACCTTTCTCACCAGCTTCTGCTTTTGGGTTTGGATTAGTTGTCCTTATTTTTCCAAGACCTTCAGGTGTGCATCATTAGGTTGTTGGAGATCTGAATTTTTTTGAAGTCAGCACTTACAACAATAAGCTCTCCGTTTAGAACTGCTTAACTACATCTCAAAAGTTCTGATAAATTGTACCATCATTTTCATTTGATTATATGACCCTTTAAATTTCCACTGGTGTCACCAATGACTGCCAATGACAGGTATACTGTCCAGTCTCCAAATTTTTGTAGACTTTGTGGTCTGTATTGTCAATTTCTCATTTATTCCACAGGTGTCTATGAAGTCCACTGATCCACGGTGGAGTTTTCCTCTGAATTTTCTTTGCTGACTTAGTTTGGATGACCTATATGTCAAGATGAGATACACTGGTCACTATCATCAGAACAGAACTATCTGCCTGCTCATGTCATGTGGTGTTTTATGAAATTAGGACCCCTAACATTCGGTGCATATACATTTACAATTGCTCAATCTTTATGATGAATTGTACCATTACTAATTCAAAGTGTCCTTTTCTTGTTTTCTTGGAATATCTATGTCAGATTGTTTCTAGCTTCTGTTTGATAGTTTGACTTTTGTTCTTTGACTCCAGTTATTTTAAAATAGTGGATTGAGGCAATTTACATTTCTGGATATTATTGAGAGTTTTCCAATTTGTGTGTTATTCATTTCTTTTGTTTGGGTGGATTTTCTTTTCTTCCATTATCAGCACTAGGGATTAAGTTGGTTTATTGTGTGGACACGTATTCCTCTCATGTAATATATTTTTTACTATATCCTCATGGTTGAGACTGGTATTATTCCTCCTTTGTGTAGAGTATTACTTTGAATATCTTCTGTGGTGCTGGCTTGGTTATCATGAATTGTCTTAGTTTGTGCTTGTGTTGAAATGTTGACTTTCTCAATTTTAAGAGTTTCTCTGGATACAAATTTTTGATTGGGCAGTTTATTGACTCATCATAATTTTGTGGCTGCGGATGAGAGACCCAGTGTTCTGAAGTCTTTGCCTTTGAGTTGGCATCTTCCTCTTAACAGTTTTTATTATTTATATTTTATGTATGAGTGTTTGGCATGCATCCCTGTGAGCCAGAAGAGGGCACCAAACCTCGTTGTAGATGGTCATGAGCCACCATGTGGGTGCTGGGAATTGAACCCGGATCCTCTGGAAGAGCAGCCAGTGCTCTTAGCCATCTCTCTAGCCCTTTGCTTCCCTTTGTGTTTTTCACATCGTTGATACAGCATGGAAATGTTCTTTTCTGGTCTCTTTAGGGTTTTAAATGCTGCTTTTGTTTTGTTCATGTTTTCTAGATTTGGGGAATTTCCTGCTATAATTTCAGTAAACAGACTGTCCAAATGCTTAGTTTTTATCTTCTATCTCATAGATTCTTATTTTTGTTTCCTTTCACTTAATCTTTGGTGTTTTTGAAGTTTGGGTTACACTTCTTCCCTTGACTTTGTGCTGTATCCCTAATACACTTTCTTCTGCTCTTGTCTTCTTGGTGAAGATTTCCACTGTTTTATAGTTGAATGATTAATTTGTATTATTTCTATTTGTTCCCTCCCAGAACTTCAGTTTCTTCACTGAATTTGTTTCCCATATTGCTGACCTTTCCTCCCAGTTTAACTTTTCATCTAGGTGCCAAATTAATTTGCTTATTTAACTTACCTGCTTGAGTCCAGTAGGTAGTCCTCAGTCCTTGGTTCATTAAAATTTCTGGTATCTTAACTTCTTATTAATGATCTTTGCCTTTCCAGTGCTGAAGAATGTCACAGTGACTTTCTTTCTCATGGTTTGTTTCTGTTTTATGCCTCTGTTCAGAGGAATGGTGTACTAGTTTAGTTTCTGTTGCTGTGAAAAACACTAACTAGAAGCAACTTAAGAGAGAAAGCAGCTTACAGTACATTATGAAGGGAAGTAAGGGCAGAAACTCCTGGCAGGAATCTGGATGAAGCAGAAACCACGGAGAAAGGTTGCTTACTGGCTTTCTCAGCCTGCTTTCTTATGTACCTCATGACTACCCTAAATTGGCACTACCCACAGTGGATAGGGCCCTCCTGCATCAATGCTCAATCAAGAAAATGACCCATGGACTAGTTAACAGGCCAATCTGATGAAGGCATCTTCTCTTTTGAGTTGCCTCTTTCAAGAGGACTAGTTTTGTCAAGTTGATGCACCACAAATGTGTAGTTCTCCCCACCTTTCTTTTTGTGTCTTCTGGTGAGTTGTCTTTTCTTGAGGTTGTATGCACCACTGTTATTTAAGACACTGACTTGTAGCTGTTTTTTTTTTTCTTCCTACCCAGATCCCGACTGCTTCTCATCAATGCCATAGTTCTTATTTGAGAATTTTTGTTTATATAGGTGAGATTGTGCCAAGTTCAGCACATTTTTCACACTCCTGAGCTGCTGCTCACCTAAGCAGTGACAGGGTGATGCCTCCCATATAATCTTTAGGCTCCTGTGCCATACTTGTATGAAAGTCTCTATAGCTAGCTATAGTTGTATCTCTGCTCATGGAGTGTCTAGCAACTAGTTATATTTATTCTGCTCAGTATTTTTTAAAAATTATACTATTTTCTAGGATCTTCTTTATGACCTTATCTTTATGACATCTGTCCTTCAGGGTTTTTATTAGCTTTTCCTTGATTTCCAGTTCTTAAAATAGGTTGGACTGTATCATTTTTTATTCCCTGTTAATTTAGGAGAGGGGAGGTAGATAGGTGCTTAGTGCTCTAATGTGAATAATGTGAATCATAGTTCCTAACTTTTCATGACAAAAGCAAATTAGCACGGCATACCACATTCTTTACCTTTCTTCAAAATGATCTCTACATCCTGTACCTGCTCAGCCCTCTGTCCGGCAGACTTTATCCAGTGGCAATTCATGCCATATCTATTCCCCAGGCCTAGCATGGCCCACACTGTGTTCTGGACCAAACTGATGAGTCCTCACTCTTAACCCCAACCAACCTGCATTCTCCCAATATGCAGATGGAGCTTGGATAGTATATCTAGTATCCTAGGTTTGAGAAGGCCCACTCACATCTTCAAACCTAGGCCAGAACATACAGCCCAGCTTTCTGTGTCCTTATCAGGCACATGACAAGCCAATAACTTCACATGTCCAAGTCTCATAGCAAAAATACACAATACAAAAGGTCAGAGAGTATATCTTTCCCCACCCCAAATCTGCCATTCCTATGGAAATATTTTCCAATGAGAATTACCCCATTGAACCCCAGGACACAAATCTTAAAAAAAAAATCATAAAATTCATCAAAGAATTCAAGGAATTAAAAAAAAGCACAAAGAAACAGCACGAGAATAAACATATGGGTGATGGAACACAATCATAAAGTTGACTGAAGTGACTAAGGCAATCCAGAATTTGAAAATAAAATTCAATAAAGAGATGGAAAAACTAACAAGAACTCAAGCTGAAGTGAAGTTGGAATTGAAAACTCTGTAAGTCAATTAGAAACAGGGGGAGCTTATTAGTAGTATCAAATCAAATTAGAATATCAGGTCTCAAAGTTAGAATAGAGGAGTTAGACTGCACAGCAAAGAATATTAAAATATTCTAAAAATCCTAAAGGAAATGGGTAAATTTCTAAATTCATTCAAACAACTGAAGTTAAATCAAGATCAACAACTTAGATTCATAACAAGTAAGGATATTAAAACAGTAACATAAAACCTTTCAACCAAAGAAAGGTCCAGCCAGGCGGTGGTGGCGCACGCCTTTAATCCCAGCACTCGGGAGGCAGAGGCAGGCGGATCTCTGAGTTTGAGGCTGGGCTGGACCGACAGCCTCCAAAACAATACAGAGAAACCCTGTCTCATAAAAACCAAAAAAAAAAAAAAAAAAAAAAAAGAAAGGTCCAGGCCCAAATGGAGTCACAGCAGAATTCTACCAGACTTTCAAAGATGCTCTCCAAATGATACTTAAATTATTCCCAAAAGAAAAAACAGAAGGAACTCTTCCAAACCTCTTTCATGAAGCTAGTATCACTCTAATACTCAAACCCAGTAAGACACAACAACAACAAAACTAAAGGACACCTGGCCTGCTGAACAAAAATCCAAATACAGGCATGTATGAAAAAGATCTGCCATGATCAAGTTGGCTTTATCTCAAGAGCTGTGAGATAGTTCAATATAAGTCAATAAATGTAGTAAGTCTATATAAATGGGCATCAATCCACTCGGGAGGCAGAGGCAGGCGGATCTCTGAGTTTGAGACCAGCCTGGTCTACAAGAGCTAGTTCCAGGACAACCTCCAAAGCCACAGAGAAACTCTGTCTCAAAAAAAAAATCACATATTATCAATAGATGCAGGGAAAGCCTTTGACAAAAATCCAACCTGACTTCATAATAAAAAGTCCTAGAGAGAAGAAGACTAGAGA